AAGCTGGCGACTTTGATCTCAAGAGTCACCCAGGAAATCGAATTCCGTTGGGACGACGAGTGCCTTCCACTGTTGAGAAGACTTCTTCATGTTTTGGATCCAGTGGGGGACCTCATTTCTTTTGAATTGCGAAGAATAAAAAACTCTCCGACTTGGGAAGTCGTGGAAAGAAAGCGGAAAGTCAGAAATTTGATGGCCATGCGTTGAATTTTTTTTCTTTTCTTTCTGACATTTTTTCTTAGTTAGGGTTTTTGTTTTTTTTGTTTTTTTTGCAGAGCCCGATGGACTTGGTTTCGACTGCATTGCAGCTCAAAATGAGATTGGATACTCACTGGAAGTAAGTTTTCCTATGCATCTATTCCTATCATGTCTGTTGGTTGTTTGTGATCTTTCTTTATTGGTTCACATGTTTTTTTTTTCTTCTATCAACGTAGAGATTTTCAAGTCATGATATTTAAAAGATTCATGTCTTAAAATTTGCAACTACATATTGATATTGTTAGTTAGCAGAGGACCTGCAAAAGCTTGAAATTGCTGTTATTATTCATTCAGTTGCAACTTCTCTCGCTTGTGACTTGTCTGATATGTTTCTCTCCATGTTCAATATACTTTTGAAAATTATTTCCCACCATTTCATTATGCTTGGATTTAACATCCTTTTTGTTACATGTCCAATTGAACCTTCTGACATTTAAAAGTATCGTAAGACTTGATTGCAACCGTCCTTTTTTCAAAGGGTTTATCTTTATCTTGTTTTATGATCCCTGAAATGGTAGTGAAAGACATGATTGCGACCATAGCATATTTGTGGAACAGAGGGGTTTGTTATATGAGACTACTGGCCCAAGGTGATGATTGGGAAATTTTCTTCAAGGTATGGACTACGATAATATATTATTTTGAGTGAAGTGCATGACTCTACAAGTATTTTTTCAATTTCATGTTTCAAGTAATTTCTGTCCGTAACCTTTTCCGAGCACAGGGTATTAGCATTGCAGGTTTAGTTGTTAAAATTTGGTGTATTAGGAAAATTTGACTATTCAATTTAGCTTTTATCTTTAACTATTCAATTTGGAGTGTTTAAGTTAATTACACTGCAATTGACTGTGAATGCTAGTTAAGAAGCTTCGAATGCTACTTCCAAATCCTATTGTGTAACTTACTTATAATACTTGTTGGAGAAATGATAATTAGGTGTCCTTTTCCCAAGGGGTTTATCTTTATCTCTTTTTGAGATCCCTGAAATGGTAGTGAAAGACATGATTGCGACCATAGCATATTTGTGGAACTGAGGGGTTTGTTATATGAGACTAGTGGCCCAAGGTGATAATTGAGAAATTTTCTTCAAGGTATGGACTACGATAATATATTATTTTGAGTGAAGTGCATGACTCTACAAGTATTTTTCCAATTTCATGTTTCATGTAATTTATGTCTGTAACCTTTTCTGAGCACAGGGTATGAGCATTGCAGGTTTAGTTGTTAAAATTCTTTGGTGTATGGTATTTGAATTACCACAGTGGTGCTTGCTTTATTGTTTGTTATTTGTGTCAAGGAATTATGTTTTTGTTTTTCCATAGTTAAATGCAGGCTATGGCTTAAGTAATGTGTAACTGATTTTAGAGATAACGAAATATGAAAGTTCAATAATGTAACCCAGCTTAGGAAAATCATTATTGTTGCTGAGGCGTGAAGTACAAGTATGTATGTTTGCCTTTTTCCTTGAATTAAATTTGACATAAATATCATATCTTTAGCATTCTTCAGTATCTTTAAAAACAATAGCGCACAATCAAGGCTCGGTCCTTTCAACACCTCCATCTTTACTTGGTCCTTTCGACCAAAGCTGAATTGCAGATCCAGTTCAAAGAAGTTTGCATTGATTTTCTTTTCCTTTTCCCTATATTCATTTGTGTACAGATTGGTTGCATCAACTTGATACATTTCTTTAATTTTACCAGTTATTTTATCAATAAATCTCTCGTTTCTTAGGCAAATTTTGATATTTCTTTGTTCAATCTTTGATATGTATGGAGAGTTTCATTGACAGCAGTTGTTCTCTTGCGGACATCTTACAATAATCTTTTGTAATTAATACAGTTTGCAGCTTCCCTCTATTTTCTCAAGTTGATTTCGTCACAAGCCTTGACTGTGGTGATAGGTGTATGTAAGGGAACGCCAGTTTCACCATGCTAGAGTTAATCAATCTTTTGTTAATTTGAACTTTGGAACTTCATATTGATCTTGTTGGAAATATTTTGCAGCACTGGTGTTAGCTTTCATGCTGTATTTCATATACGAGCAGTATGAATCAGAAGTTGCGAAGCTTAATCTACCTGCTTCTGTGCAACTCTTTCTTGAAAACCATGGAATTTTGATGCGTCACATGTGACAATTAGCATCCAAAGTAACTGCCACAACCACTTGGATGGCATTTGGGCATAGTTTTTCTAACTGGACAAATTCAATATTCTGCTAGTTTAGGGTTGTATGAAAATATATATTTCGTGTAAACCCAACAAAAGAATTACCACATTACAAACACTTCTCCTTTTGTAGTGTTAACCATAAAGTTTAGGCTGTATAAATCAATGTCTTTTGTCACATCTGTAAGCTATAAACAGCTTACACAAGGATTGAGTGCTTTATGTCAGTTCGATGCCATCTTCTCTATTTTTTTGTTTGTTGAAATCTGTAAATTTTATTGTAAGGGAGCCAAAGCAGTGAACTCAATGAATGAGTTCAAACAAATGCTGTGTAAAATGCAACTCGGATCAGGTGAGAACACTAAAATGAGAACATTATATGAGAATCAATCCTAGCCATTCAAAGTCATCTGAACGGTTGAAGAGAAAAAAACAAGCTTACAATAGAAACGGGTACACTGCACTTCCCCTTAGCCCCGTGTCCTAGCGCGCGTTTTCCAATCCCGCCTTTCTTTTTCAGAGTTTCTTTTTCCCAGATTCCCCTCTCAATACCATCTCCTATTTTCCTTAGTCTTAATCGATACATTTCTCCTTGAACTCCCTCTCTCTTTCTCTGCCCTCTCAATTTCCCTCATCTCGATCTGCAGCCCTGTCTTGCTCTCTCAGTTTCTCTTTTGATATCTCTTTCATTTTTATGCAGACCTACAAATAAAACCCCCTTTCTCTCTTACTCCCCTTTCTTCTTCTCTCTTTGCCCAAGTACAAATACAACTCTAGCTTTGGAATTCTCAAAGCCATCGTCAACAGCGGTCTCAAAGACAGAGTGCTTGTTTGCAAAGTCCTAATCATTGTCGTCAGCCTCCTCCAGCAGTTCTGACAACCTCTATGGTCACATCCGTTTTCCCACTTCCTACTACGTCGTCTTCGGCAAGTTCATCTATCTCTTATTGATCAAGCTCTTCTTATTTAATTGTCATCTTCCTTAAATCTTAACATGTTTTTGTCAACCTAGAAACTTCTAGGGCTAAAATGGGTGAATGATGTGTTAATAGTTTAGGGTATAGATCTGTTGAAATTTATTTAATCCATTTTAGGACTTTTAATGGGATCCTTACAAATCAATGGTATTCTTGGTGGATTTGGGTTAATTTGGGGCTTTAAGGGTTCAGATCTACACATGACGTGGAAATAGTCTTTTCTACCTTAATCGCTTTTGGGTTATTATGCCGCTTGTGCTTACCACTGTCTTGCTCTTGTTAGTGAGTTTTAGTTTGTAGTCAGATTTTGATGTTTTTACTAGTAATTGGGTTCTCAACAAAGTGATGAAATGGGCATTTAGAACTGTTCAGATGATTGCTGTGAGTTTATTCAATCTTTGATTGTTAGATGGTATGTCGGTGTTGCAAAAAGATAAGGCTTTTATTTATTTATTTTGTGATTCTTTCTTCACGTTGTATGCTTGTAGACTAACTCACTTTTCTTAGTTTTTGTTTTCACAATTTTTCCATTCTTTCTCAAGCAAGTCAAACAAGAATCCTTATTGGAGTAGAAGGTCAAGAAATAAATACGTAAAGTTTTATTGCAAAACCAGAAAAGAAAAGAAAGCCCATTTCTCACACATTGCCGTGCTTCTCATTCCCATCAACAATGAGATTCAAGTCAACCATATTATGCCGCCTCTTGTTGGTTTCTGTCAACTATGAAAATTTGAAAGTTCCAAGATTGTTCGGTGGTTGTCCAGTTTCTGGGATCCCATGGGGAGATTTAATGTAATGCCTTTTGGTTGGAAGCAAATAACCAGATGCAAAGCTTGTATGGAATTGATCCGAAAATAGAGCATTACGCATGTGTGGTGGACATGCTTGGTCGAAGTGGCCAATTGGAGGAAGCTTTAAACCTCATACATGAGATGCATGAGGAGCCAGATACCAGAATATGGAGCTCATTGCTTAGTTCTTGTAGGCTTCACAATAACTTGTGAACTAACCGTAGAGGATAGTAGACATCAGAACCAAGAATATACATCTAGAAGTAAGTTTAGCTTGAATCGTTTTTGAACTAACAACACAAAAAAAAAATAGTTGAATGGTGGACATGATTCTACTCTGTTCTAACTTTACTTGTGTGATGGCAGATGATGGATCAGTTTGGTGCTGGGGTTACAACATATGTATCCTTCACCATAGGGTTATATACAGCTTTCATTAATTCTCCACAATGAAAGAATTTAGTTATGGAAAGTGCATCCCTAGTTTTTTGTGTTTGCTCCTTGTTTATATTGTTTACATTCTTAACTGTTGAATGGATGGCCAACCTTGTGTAAATGGAGAAAATTTTCTGGTGCCTTGCTTGTTGGAATGGTTCCCTGAGGTGTGATCTGCGACGAAGAGTGAAGTGCCTTTACAGGTATGGAAAGAATTGTTTCACTGCTGCATTAAATACCTGATGAAGATAAGAGCCTTATGTTTTGGTTTTTTTGTTGTTGCCAAAGCTGTCTGCATCAGGTTTGTGTTAAAGGAAAGAAAATCAGTCAATGATCTGAGATTGAGAGATTGTAGGATCTGCATATAATTAGCAAATCATTAGTATGTATTTACCTAGAATAGACGTGCTCTGTATGTATAAAGCTGCTGTATCTGTTTGAAGTTATCATATATACAAAATACATTAAACTTTCTCATGGTATCAGAGCACCTATCTTGGTGACTCTGCCTAAACACCTTCCGCTACAACCACAAATGTACTGCAAACACCATTGAAACACAACATCATGAGTGAATCACAATCTACAGAGACGATTCCTATCTCTTCCGATCCTCTGTCTTTGCACAACTCCGACACCCTGGGACTTTCCCTAGTTAACATCAAACTCGAAGGTCACAATTATGGCCAATGGAGTAGATCTATGCATCTAAGTCTCAGCGCCAAGAACAAGCTTGGATTGGTTGATGGATCAGTCAAGGCTCCTTCATCCAATGACCCGAAATTCTCAATCTGGCAGCGCTGCAATGACATGGTTCTGTTATGGATCTTGCACTCTCTCCATCCTGACATTGCCGGTAGTGTCCTTTATGCTAAAACACCGGCGGCTGTTTGGATAGATCTTCGAGATCGCTTTTCACAGAGCAATGACGCCAGAATTTATTAGATTCGACAGGAAATTGTCGAGTGCAGACAAGGAACGCAAACTATCTCCATCTATTACACAAAGTTGAAAGCTCTTTGGGATGAGTTGGCTTCATACCAAGAGCCCTTTATCTGTAACTGTGAAGGACTGAAAAACCTTGCTGAGAGAGAAGAGAAAGAAAGGGTGATGCAATTTTTTATGGGTTTGAGCGACCAGAGGCGGTCCTACCCTAAGGGCAGGGTAGGCAGCTGCCTACCCCATTTTTTAGCAAACTAACTATTTCTCAATACCCAATACAGCCAAACCAAATATTATTAAATACCCAATACAATCTGCCTACTCAACTGCCTACCCCATTTTTTTAGCAAACTAAATATTATTCAATACCCACTACAGCCAAACCAAATATTATTCAATACCCAATACAATCTGCCTGCTAAAACCCAAACACTCAAATTTTTCTCTTTAAGAAAAGCAATAGCCCAGCCCACTCAAAAACAATAAAAAGCTTTGTCAACTCACATGCTCAGCCGACATTCTCCAACTCCATGGGCCATGCCCACATATATTATATTTCAAAAAAAACAAAAAAGCAAAGCAAACCCTATATCAAGTGACGGTCCCCACTTTTCTTCTCCCCTTGAACAATTGGTTGGCTGCAACCCGACGGTCCCCACTTTTTTTCTCCTTGTCAGCAAGATCTTCAGCAGCTTCTTCTTATTTTTTGGGAACAAGTATTTCTCATTCTCTTCTCTTTAATTATCTTCTCTTTTGGGGGTTTTCCTAAAATACATGTATGCATCTTAATTTTAATTTTAATTTGAAATTGAGTATTCTAGGGTTTCATGTATGAGAATTATTAAGAATAGACTTCGGAGCACCATAGCTGATGAATTCCTTGCTAATTGCATGATTCTACACATTGAAAGAGAGTTTTCTAATAATATTGATAATGAAGAGATAATTGAGGAATTTAAGATTTCTAAGCCACGTAGGGTAAGGTTTTAGATTAAAATAGTTTAGTTTTGTGTTGCATTGCATTTACTTCGTGTTCTTTTGTTAAGCTTTTATTTACGTATAGATATGCATATTTGAGGGTAAGGCTCATTACATCCCCTGACTAGGTGTATCTTTTTATTTTTATCAATAAAATTCACTCGTACCGTCGAGTTTTTAAGGTAAGTTTCGCCTACTTGGCTTTTGAATCCTGGATCCGCCACTGTGAGCGACACCTACTCTACGGTTCGAGGATCGATTCTCATGATGAATCCCTTACCTGACACACGCAAAGTGCACGGCCTGGTTCTCCAACACGAGCGCCAGCTAGAGGTGACCAGCAGGCATGACAGTCTAGTTACTCACCATGTGATGCAAACCGGTCGTTCTTCGGTGGCCGCCACTCCCTCCACAGTTTGGTCCCAATCCCGCAAATCCCTAAAGTGCTCATATTGCGATGGATATGGTCATCTGAAAGAACGATGCTACTTTATTATTGGTTTCCCTGTGGGCCATAAATGGCATGGCAAAAATGTTAAGCCCAGAAACCAGCGTTCCGGTCCAACCGCTCACAATATTGAAGTCATTCAATCACCAGTCCAACCTATTGCCATCACCAAGACAACCTCCGTTGATGGCCCAACCTTCACCACTGAGGAGTACAACGAACTTATTACTATGCTACGTAATAAGAAGGGTAACAGTCAGCCTCTAGCACATGCAACAGGTATCATTACACCCACTTGTAATATTGCACAACATGATCCACACTCCACGCTATATTGGATTGTGGATAGTGGGGCCACCGACCACATTTCTCATTCGGCTCCTACACATAATCAAATTGCCACACATCATGAATTTGTTAGTTTTCCCAACGGAGAAAAGGCAGCAATACGTAACATTGGATCTATGAATCTATCGCCCGACTTGTCTCTTGATGGAGTTCTACATGTTCCAAAATTTCGTGTCAACTTGTTATATGTTAGTAAATTAACACAGGCTCTTCGATGCATAGTAATTTTTTTTCCAAATTTTTGTGTTGTGCAGGATGTGGATATGAAGAAGACAATTGGCCTGGGCAAGCATTTTGATGGGCTTTACTACCTCACGCCTACCCAAAATCCTCACCTTGCTACTCATGTTCGGCATACCTCCACGCTTTGGCATCAACGTCTCGGGCATCCGTCATCTGCCCCCCTTCACTCCTTATCCAAGACCATTCCTGAAATAATGTTTAATTCTAAGCACATTTGTGATGTTTGCCCTTTGGCTAAACAAACCAGATTATCTTTTCCTTCTAGTTCAATTAAAACAGTTGCACCTTTTGATCTTATTCATTGTGACATTTGGGGCCCTCATAATACCCGTACACATTCTGGGGCACGTTATTTTTTGACGATTGTTGATGATTTCACTCGTTTCACTTGGGTTCATCTTATGAATTTTAAATCTGATACACAAACAATTTTGAAATCATTTTTTTCTTGGGTCACCACTCAATTTAATCGTTCCATTAAAACTCTTCGTTCAGACAATGGTAGTGAATTCCTATCCATGCGTCCATTCTTTCTTGAGCATGGTACTAATTTTCAACATTCTTGCACATATACGCCTCAACAAAATGGGGTCGTTGAACGCAAACATCGTCATCTCTTAAACATTGGTTGCGCACTTCGTTTCCAAGCTAACTTGCCCTTGCAATTTTAGGGAGACAGTCTTCAAACCGCATGTTACCTCATAAATCGACTCCCAACCCCCTTACTCTCTCATAAAACCCCTTATGAGCGATTACATGGGAATTCACCTTTTTATTCTCACTTCCGGGTTTTTGGGTGCCTTTGCTATGCCACTCACCTTAACCCCACTCACAAATTTGACACCCGGGCTCGTCGTTGTCTTTTTGTTGGGTACCCTCTTAGTCATAAAGGCTATCGCGTCTTTGATCTTGAAACAAAGAAATTTTTTGTGTCTCGGGATGTCATTTTTCATGAACACTCATTTCCTTTTTCTCACTCTCCTCCTAACCCTCCCACGGATCAACCCATTCTGCCTACTCCTCCTCCCACTTCAGACCCTCTTTTTCTGCCAAGCCCGATGTCTCCAGGCCCACATTCACCACCCTTACCTCCACTAGACCCGGTCCAGTCTGATCAGCACATCTCCCCTCCCCATACCCTTCCAGACCTTAATTTCCCAATCTCCACGCTGCCTCTCTCTTCGACCTCCCCAATCTCCACGCCGCCTCGCCCTTCTCTCGATGGCGGCTCTGGTTCCCCAATCCCCGGCCTCACCTCTCCTTCAATTGGCCAGCCGTCGTCCTCCCTTGAACCTTCACAGCCTCATCCTCCTCTCCCTGACACATCATCCTCACCTCGCCGGTCTGCGCGTGTCCCACGTCCTCCTTCCTATCTTCGAGACTATGAAGCTCATCACACCGCCTTGCTCACGCCCGGAGTCGCTTCTTCCTCCACGTCTGGAACCAGGTATCCCCTTCATCGTTATGTATCTTACTCTGGTCTCTCTCCTGCTTATCGGAATTATGTGTGTAATATATCTCGATTGGTAGAGCCTTCTTCATATGAACATGCCTGTCATGACCCTCAATGGGTTGCTGCTATGAACTCTGAGTTGCAAGCTCTTGAAGACAACCACACCTGGTCGTTGGTTCCTTTGCCTCCCGGTCATCGTCCCATTGGTTCCAAGTGGATTTTTCGGATTAAATACCACTCCGATGGCTCCGTTGATCGTTACAAGGCCCGCCTAGTTGCCCAGGGGTTCAATCAATATCCCCTTCATCGTTATGTATCTTACTCTGGTCTCTCTCCTGCTTATCGGAATTATGTGTGTAATATATCTCGATTGGTAGAGCCTTCTTCATATGAACATGCCTGTCATGACCCTCAATGGGTTGCTGCTATGAACTCTGAGTTGCAAGCTCTTGAAGACAACCACACCTGGTCGTTGGTTCCTTTGCCTCCCGGTCATCGTCCCATTGGTTCCAAGTGGATTTTTCGGATTAAATACCACTCCGATGGCTCCGTTGATCGTTACAAGGCCCGCCTAGTTGCTCAGGGGTTCAATCAACGTGAAGGTATTGACTTCACTGACACATTTGCTCCGGTTGCAAAGTTGATCACTGTTTGCTGCTTACTCTCGGTTGCAGCTGCTCGCCACTGGCCTCTTCATCAAATGGACGTTCAGAACGCGTTTCTCCATGGCGACCTCCACGAGGAGGTTTACATGTTACCTCTGCCTGGTTCACGTCGACAGGGGGAGCAGGTTGTATGTCGACTTCACAAGTCCTTATATGGACTGAAACAAGCTCCACGGAGCTGGTTTCAAAAAATTTCATCTACTATATATGTGGCATTGGTTTCAAGCAATCTAGGGCAGATTACTCTCTATTCACGCAGGTACATGGAAGTTCCCTGACTATTATATTGCTCTATGTAGATGACATGATAATCACAGGGAATAATGAGGAGGTAATCTGTAAACTGAAGCATTTCCTTGGCAGTCAATTCCGAATCAAAGATCTCGGACCCTTGAAATATTTCCTTGGTGTTGAGGTGGCACGATCGAAAACGGGAATTTCTATATGTTAACGCAAGTACACTCTTGACATTTTGGAAGAAGCTGGACTACTTGGAGCTAAACCAGCCAAGGTCCCCATGGATCCTGATACAACATTATCATCTACAGGTGAACAACTCAAAGATCCTACTAGGTATCGATGCTTAGTTGGAAAGCTAATCTATCTCACAATTACAAGGCCAGAAATTACTTTTGCAGTCAACACACTCAGTCAGTTTATGCAAGAGCCTAAACGCCAACATCTTGATGCTGTAAACCGTCTACTTCACTACCTTAAAGGAGCTCCAGGGCAAGGGCTGTTATTCTCTACACAGAACAAGTTGAAACTAATTGGTTATTGCGATGCTGATTGGGCTAGATGCCCAATGACACGCCGGTCAGTCACGGGATATTGCATCTTTCTTGGTAATGCACTGGTGTCCTAGAAAAGCAAGAAGCAAGTTACAATTGCATGATCATCTGCTGAAGCTGAATATCGTTCAATGGCTGCAGCTACATGTGAACTCACTTGGTTAAGATATCTATTGCATGATCTGCGAGTTACTCATGCTGAACCTGCAAAGTTGTTTTGCGATAATCAAGCTGCCCTATATATTGCAGCAAATCCAGTGTAGAGAGGATATAACAATTAGAGTTTCAATTTTATGTGTTAACCTTAAAATTTTTCCAAAATTTTTATAAAAAGTCATAAAAATACACCGAGAATTTCTACAAACTCGTTGCAACATTATCTTCAACTAGGGATCGTAAAAATCTAAATTTGAAGTAATGATTAGAGGAAGTGTAATGATCTTCAACTTAGTGTATCATGCTTGTTGCATATTTTAGGTTATCTATGAGGATAATGGGTCATTTATGTATCATCATGCACCCTACGACACATATGCAACATCTCTGTTGAATTTACTTTTGAATATCAGCTTTGTTCTTTATACGTATTTTTTAATGCTCCTTCCAATTTGGTTTAAAATTCAGGACCTTGATAAACCACCTCTTACGTGAGAAACTTTTTTTGATCCTGGCATCATTGTGTATCATACTTGTTGCATATTTCAGGCTGTCTATGGGGATAATGGGTCATTTATATATCATCATGGATATGGTTATGCACCCTACGACACATGCCACATCTCTGTTAAATTTAAATTTACTTTTGAATGTCAATGTCCCTTCCAATTTTGTTTAAAATTTAAGACCTTGAGAAACCACCTCTTATGTGAGAAACTTTTTTCTATCCTAATGTTGTGTAGATACAGCTGCACCAAAATGGATTCAGTTGCATCCTCAACTTGTGATACTCGCAAGTGCACGAGCCGTTTGGTAGTATAGCATATGTAAGTGCGAGGTCGATCCCACGAGGATTGGTGATTGAATGATCCAATTCATTTTCCCTACACAAAACAGAAATGAAAAAGAAAGGAAATAAATAAAACAAGGAAGAAAGAAATAACTAACTCAAGCAGATAAGTTCCCAAGTTCAATTAGATTAACGGATTGATTCTAGCTAAAGTATGATTAAGCCATGGTGTTTGGTCATAACCTTGTGTTCCTAATTCCCTAATTTGATCATTTGTTGTCTAACCTAAAATTAAGCATTAGGAACCCATTAAGCATAGAAGAACAATTTAAACAACCAAGCATGTATCTAATCCCTGTTGTCGAATGTCCATACATACTCTTCCTATTCATAGTTCAATTCGAATTAAAGCATAGTGTCTACTCTTAATTCAAACCAAGATAGCTAACATACAAGCCTAAATGGTGATCAATCATTCAAACTAGCATATTAACTTATAAGAATAATGAATAAGAACATGAACCATAATTGAAACTTGGAAACTAATCAAACACTTCTCTAGAGCTCCCTTCCCTTCTCTCCCTCAAAGTTCTCAAACATCTCTCTACTTCCCTTCTCTTCCAAAAGTCTCCATGTCTCAAACACTTCACAAACACATTTCTCTTCCTTCCCTAAGTTCTCAAATTCTCCAAGTTCACAAACATCCTCAAAGCTCTCAAACACATGTTCTTCCAAAATCCTCCAAGTTCTCAATACTTTCTTCTCCCTCTCAAAGCTCTCAAACACATGTTCTTCCAAAATCCTCCAAGTTCTCAATACTTTCTTCTCCCTCTCAAAGCTCTCAAACACATGTTCTTCCAAAATCCTCCAAGTTCTCAATACTTTCTTCTCCCTCTCAAAGCTCTCAAACACATGTTCTTCCAAAATCCTCCAAGTTCTCAATACTTTCTTCTCCCTCTCAAAGCTCTCAAACACATGTTCTTCCAAAATCCTCCAAGTTCTCAATACTTTCTTCTCCCTCTCAAAGCTCTCAAACACATGTTCTTCCAAAATCCTCCAAGTTCTCAATACTTTCTTCTCCCTCTCAAAGCTCTCAAACACATGTTCTTCCAAAATCCTCCAAGTTCTCAATACTTTCTTCTCCCTCTCAAAGCTCTCAAACACATGTTCTTCCAAAATCCTCCAAGTTCTCAATACTTTCTTCTCCCTC